CTCATTGAGAAATATTCTATTTTTTGTGCGAAATGAAGCTGTTTGATGCTCGTTAGTTTGTCTGTTGGTTCCGTTGTTGTATACCTTGTTCTCATTTGAGAACTTGACATTACTTTCTTGGATTCACCAAGATTTACATGGCGGGTGGTGCCGATGTAGCAGAGGACGCTTGCTCTTTCGGAACACATGGTTTTTATTCTCTATGGAGTTTCCGTGTAAATCTGAGTATTTACCGTTATTACCGTAGATAACTTGAAAACAAGGACCTCTAATATGGATATACATGTTTCATGAACAAGCCAGTCAAATGATATATCAGAAGTATTTTTAGGATGTAAAAAATGAAAACATTACGTTTATCTTACAGTAAGGTGGAAAACTGTCAATATTGGTATCGTTTTAGAAAAAGATAAAAATAACCGGCTTGTGTAGAAGTCTGCCATGTCCTTGATTTCCAATTCTCTTTTTTATATACGATGGACGTGGTCAATAAGTTTCTTGCTATTTAAAGACAAAAGGTCATCAACATATCTCAAAATATAACTGACACATGTAGATTATCCTAAGAAGACAAGAAGGAAATATTAATGGTGCAGGCAGATTATTTGAACGGAACAAGTAGAGAACATCAATTATGTAGGTAGCATATCTTGAAGTGGGAAACATAAATGGCGCATGTTGGTAGTCATAAGAATGTTTATAACTATATACAAATACTTATCATCGATTAATTTGTAATAATTATTACTATTTAAAATGTAATCCACGTTAAAACCGATTCAAATATTTTGCCTTGTCGAGTCGTCGCATTCCAATAATGAGCATCTAATCTACATTACTTACGTGCAATGCGCTGTTCCGTCAATTAAACATCTTCGATTTTATGCCGCACAACAGGATATATTTCAATTTAATGTAAAAATGGGTTTTAAAATCGTAGCTTAGTATCCGCATACAGTTCGTGTTCATGAATTCACGAGACACATGGTTTCCACACGACGTAAGTATTGTCACAGCATTTGGAGTATTAGTTGACGTTCATTAGAAACAGGATATCCAGAATCAGAATCATCCAGTTTTACCGATAAATATCCATTTGCATTCATAAGACATGTGATTTTTTCCATACATTTTAGTCGTAAGTTTTACGACAGTACATAAAAGTCATATGACGTTCCTAAGATGGCTGTATTCATATAAAGTAAAGTGAACGACACATTCAGGTCAACGTTTTATAAGACCAAATTATTCTGTTTTGAATATAACAGGAACTCAAATGAATTGTACAAGACACATGATGCTCATAAGTTCACAAGAAAGGCCAATAACATCCAGCTCAACGACGATTTACCGTAGACACGACGTCCTTTGAACTCCATCAGAACTAGCTTCTAGTGAAATGAAATTCTGATATATTAATGCGTCTCGTCTAAACACACAAAACACACACACTGTATATAAACATTACAATTATATCGTTTATTGATATTTCTTATCGATATACCAATCAATCAATTTCATTTCTTCCTTTTGTTGTCATATGGTCTGGCCCCAACGGGATATCAACTGTTTTTTCAATCGTTAATGAAACCTGTGATAATTGAGATGGAATACATCGCCTCACTTACCACATGTTCAGCCGGTGAAATTATTATTAATCGCAACAGCTGAAAACATCATCAATTATGCATGTTAGGTGATATTTAGTCTGATTAAAATATTCACAGGTGATGAGAGTGACGGAAATAAAAAAAAATGACATCGACAACAACACGACAAGGGGTAGTCGAATTCAGAGTTCCGTTCATAGTCTCGGTAATTTTGAGTCTGAGTCTCCTTGGTGGCTCTACCTCACTGTAGTTTATGTCTTTTTTTTAGATCATTAATCCCCATTTATCATTATGAAAATATACAGGCCTTTCCTTGTTAGAATATATGCAAGAAACAGTTCATGAATTTGGATAACGAATCCGACGCTTGCAGCGGAGTCGTTATTCCAATCCCCCAGTCTCGTGTAACAATTCCACTGCCGATTTCCACCTCCTCAGTTCAAACAAACTTTGTTCCTCTACACCAAACAGGAAAATAAATTCCAGTGACCCTTCTTTAAAAATTGCCGTAAAAGGGTCAGCACACAATTAGGGTAGGTAGGGTTATCGGAAACAGAGCATATTTTTTGTTTGGCCTTATGGGTTCAATAGTTAACGGTCGTGTGCATTAACAATCATAGATGGTATGTCGTTCTTTTCACATGTCTGCTGTCTATTCAATCTTTAATTATTCATTTGCATATATTTCGGGATTATATTCTCATTGTTATTTCCAGATTAAATATTACTTTGGGTTTACAGAGCACAATTAGTAATGACATGTGACGACGAGCGATGTTATCAATAGACAATGCGACAAAAGTGTATTTGCATGATAAATATCGATCAACGTGACTTTTGTATAAATTGAGAAATGTATTCTTAAATCAATGAAGTTGCTCATAATCAGCCAGCTCTCGTGGAAAATCTATAAAATATAACAATATAAAATATGATAATTATAAAATGTCAGATTTCAACTCCGTTGTTGAATTAAATCTATATTGTCCAGTGTTATGTAAGAATGAAAACGTACTGTTTCTTATAGGACACTCCTGAGGGATATTTTTTTTCCGAATGATGAAGGATGATAGCCTGTTGAGAACGGGTTCACTAATGCATGTCAGTTGGTTAACGATGTCACTACTTATCGGTTCTATACAATGGTAAACAAAACTATACATTTCAGATGCAAGGATAAACAGCACTAGAGGCCGTGGTGGAAGATAGAATTGGCACTTAAGAAAATTGTTCAAATTTCGGAGGATGAGGGGTTACATCTTCCTCATATTGTTTGTTCATTCCTTAAAGTGATGAAAGCTTTGAAACAGTGGTGTAGTTTAGATGTGATGGTTAAGGTATCCTACAATACTGACGACACACTTTGTGTGTTTACGATATATCTTGTCTTTGTGCGTTAACGATAAGGAAATCTATATTTAACATGAGTTTGGATATTTTCTTTTGGTGTGGAAAATGTGTTATAAATTTATTGACTTAAACCTGACCATTTGAGTAGATGTGCCGTGCAGGAAATTTGTTAAAACGTGTCATATTTCTAATCGTTTATGAGTACGGGTGTTGTCCTTTCATCGATTTTGAGTATGGATGTTGGTCACACATAGCAACTTCAGATACAAATTTAGACTTCATGTGTATATTTTGAACCATGCTACTATACGATACTCGTTAGTGTTCAGATGTTGTATACCATGATCCCATTGAGGAACTTGACATTACATACTTGGATTGACCAAGGTTTACATGGCGGGTGACATCGCTCAAGCAAAAGACGCTTGCTCTTTCGGAACACCTGACTTTATTCTTCTTCCAATTTTCAGGAGTTTTCGTGTACATCTTTCATTTGTTCATGTTTTACCCTGCTTTTATCGAATTATTTTGAGTATCGATTAGGTTTCGATCCACATATTCGTATTTTCTTGTTTCTTTTACTTTGTTCTATTTTTCTTTTTTTTCAAATTAAAAACAAAAAAAGGACAACAACTAAAAATCCCTAACTTCATATTTTATTACTATTCAATTAACAACGAATAAATAATTAAAATCAATTTTATGGATACTTCCAAAAGATCAAGGAAACTGATTCGACAAGAAATAAATGTGCTAACACATTAATAAGCAAAATTGTAAACCTTGCTGGTATACATTCGGAAGTACTCTCCAATTAACCATTTGACATACAGTAGTCAAAATGACTTGTTGAAAATAAGCAGAGCATAGCGGAACGGATTTTCTCACAATTTTTAATTTTGTTTAATTCTTTACTGAAATTTTCATTAAAACCTAGAAATAAAAATGGATACAAACTGATTTTTGTTCGGCTTAGTGTAGACGAAACTGGAGAAAACCAAGCGTAGTGTACTAAAATCTTGTTAGTTTGGACACAGACCAGAATATGATTCGGAACATTTGAGACATAGGAAAAACCTCATTCTAAGTTCAGAACTTGGTTAAGAACAAAGTAAACATGTACCGTTCTACCGTGAAACAATTAGGAAAGTTACGAAACACTTATTATGTAAGCTATCCGAGACACATCTACTGCTTACAGAAATTGCGTCCAGTGACGTTATCAATCTATCTACATGAGATATACATATTTACATAAAAAATCCAAAGTAGGACATTCTCTACGTGTGGTATTTGTTTTTATTTTTTTTCCACTATATATGACGCGTTCTGCTGTCCCAGTGACACATTAATGTAATTGTTTGCTGGCTGTATACGCCCGGAGTGGCTTTCTACATTCAAATGTGTAACTTATCATAATGTGTTCTACGAATAAGGGCCGCCTTATCTGGAGACAAAAAGAAAACCAAATGACGAAAATTATCCTCTTGATTAATCAACACGAATTAAGAACAAATCTTGGTTAAACGTTTATCTTATAAATAATAAAAAAAAACTTTGACAGCTAAATATGAAACAAAAAATCCACAATTTGCTCAAAATCATATCACGTTATCGCAAGTTAGGAACCTAAAATGTCATTCATAAATCAGATTAATTCGAAAGATAAAATTTACTGTTGTGATTTTCTTCCAATTATATCAAACATGATATTGAGCCGGTGTAACGTTGAATATTGGACCCCTGGTTGAAAACAAACTCGGGTACATTTTCAACGCGAGTCAATTTTCAACGTTACGCCGGTATAGGGTAATAATTTTTGTTTTGAATAATTCTGAACTTTAGCTGTATCGTTCTTAACTTTAATTATATATGCTTTTTAATTGTATCGGAAAACAACTTGTCTTTACAAATTTTTTGACTTGAGACTTCATCACAGAGCAAGCCAGCTTAATGAGACAGGCTAAGACAAGTTGGGCCTTGCGATACCCGGGAACACAGTGGATTTCGTTAGTTGGTTAATTCATCAGGTATTTTTCGTCATTTATCCTCATCATCGGGTTTACAGGTAAAAAACTCGATCTGAAATAGAAAATAATATCGAAATACAGTATTCATTTACATACTGTGTGAATATTAATTGTGAAATTCGATGCTAATTTAATAATGTTAATTCCGGCACAATACTGTCAAACTCAGAGCGAGAACGGCTAGAATTAAGATAGATCTACTTGTCAATCACACTTACGTCATCCATTTCTCCTTCAAAATCGTCCATATCTTGCCCGTGGCCTATCTGGAGAGCGCAGGGGCGGCGTTCTATCACTCCTATAAACCCGTTACATAATGAAAGGAGTTAACATGATAACTGAATAAGATATCTTTCCTTATTACCATTTTACCATTCTAATTCTGATTTCATTTTATAAAATAAAAATAATTTATTACCCATTCGAAACGTTACTGATTAATTTCCTGGAGATTCATGTCAAAAGATTGCAAACAGATATTCTTATGTCTCATTACGTCGTCATAAGGTCATGATTTTTATAACTTGTTTTCCTCGTTGCTAAGATTCACTCTGAAAACAATTTCCAAAGCGGACTAAAATGGAGAAAAGTGTTACCTTGACCGGAAGTAATCTAATGTAGTCTACCCATAACAGACACCACTATCGTATCTTTAACCATATATGGTATTTAATTAATGTTTAAAGACGCAGTGCCATCACTATGATTTCAAATGTCAGTCAAAGACAATGACCACGCCTGTCTTAACATGAGTTTCATTTGAAATGAACAACTATCAGAGATTTACCTTCAGATTTCTGTGCGTATATTACGTCATTGACTTTCCCTTCCAGAACCCCATCGTTGAAGGAATACGTCACATCCTTCCACTCAGTGTCCTGAAATAAAAACGATAATCGGCGTGTGACGTCATCATAGCATTCATGAGGCCAACAGGATAAAGGCAACTGGCTTCACATTAAATTTGCCTTTATCACAATGTATTTATATCCCTGAGTGACGACAAAAAACTAGTTCAGTGTTTATATTTATCTATTTTATCTTGTTATCTGAGGGAGAATCACAATTTAGTTACATCACTCGCAGTATTCCTCCGCCATTGGCAGTTCATTAACTGATAATACACAATTGACCCTGGTAAAGTTACACTGTAGCTATGCCTTGCATCGGTAAATATATGCAAACTATGCACAAAGCTGATTTTATGCAGTGACACATCATATTTCATATACGTAAGTAAAGAATATTCCCCTTACAGTGCCTCTGTACCCTCTTGGGGCCCCGGTTTATGTCTAAGGATTCTCATCGGTTGATATATCGTTATCGTCTGCTGACCGGATGATATATTTATACTCAGTCTCCAGGCAAAAATATTCAATAGCGCCATATTTACTTAAGCAGTCACAGCAAAAATTCTCATCCTACATACCGCAATAATATCCATGTTAGGCGTTTAAAGTACAGCTTGGTTTTTCATAGTGTATTGTTTGATGAAGTTGATGGCGTAATTCTTGTAGAGTCAAAATTCGGGCGAATCCTTACTTTTGACAATTAATTTTTAATGAACATTTTTTTATGTTGCTTTTTTCATTATATATTATTAGAATAATTTGTGTTTTGTTTTGTTTTGATTTTTATGATTATCGTTTTATAACGGTGTTCTTGTGATGTTTGTCATTAACAGTCATCCTACAGAATGGAAATATTTAATTAAATCATTTATTGAGTTTGATGTGGAACACGAGGGGCTTGCTGATACATGGTGATGATCTTATAACATAAATATATGCAGACTATGTAACTTACAGGGGTAGGTATCGAGAAACTGGTGTATCCGCCCTTGTCCGTCTCCGCTCCGAACATTATACTGGTGTCGTCCTTGGCAAGCAACACGGATGCGTTGTTTCCACAGTCACCGTTACTGATGAGAGCCTGGGGTCGGTTTGTGGCCCGGGGATGTCGTTTGGGCTTGTCCTTGTATCGGATTTTTAATATTACAGTGTCACCAAGGTCCATGTTGGACAGCTGCGGCACGCGCAGGGAACTCTTTCCGTCGAAAATTGCGACACCATGTGCAACGGAAACGTTCTCGTTTACGACATACACGGATTTGTCCTTGCTTTCCTCTATATAGGTGGCGAAGTTCAGACTCACTTTCGATTTACAGCCTTTAATTTAAAAAAAACAACAACAAATTGTAGTCATAATAGAGAGTATATATGTTCAATTGTTCTCGCACGATAGCAGCAATAAGTATACAAGGATAGCGCAGACATTTCTTGAACTTACAGTTAGGACAACATTGGCTGTAAATAAAACCATTAAAAATTCTTTGATTATTACGGTTTTGTTTATATGGTAAAATTTTCAGGAGAAATTATAAATCCTGCTTCTATGACCAGTCACCTTCCACTAATGGTATTCAGACTTGAAAAGTCTATATAGTTGATTAGTTGCTTGTCATCGACCCGAAAGTTTTAGGGAACAATCATGGGTACAGTATTTGATGTTTCATATCTGAATTTGACGCAAGAAAGGCAATATTTAATAGAAATAAAGTTCGCGCAATTTTCTCATTTGACACCCCCCCCATAAAAAAAAACAAAAAAAAAAACATAGAAATAAACAAAAAACAAAAATAAATAAATAAATTAAAAAAGAAATATTTTGTTAATGTAAGTGTACACAGGAATTGGCAATGATTATGATCTTAGGAATATTTTCACTGAATATTATTGTTATATTTGTTTGTATTATTCCACTAAAGCATGGTCGTTCTTACTTTATTTGTCAAACTATCATGACACTTATCCAAGGGATACGGGATAGGTGTGGGTCTGGAAGGGAGTTGAGGCATGGGACGAGTAAGTAATAAAGTAAATAAAACATTTCTCGTTTACTATGAGATATGATATACAGTAGAACCTCGTTATCTCGAACTTTTATAACTCGAAGACACAGCTTAGTTCAAATCATTTCTTCTGTCCCTGCCAACTTTACACAAAACTTTCGAACTCACTTAAACTCGAACACTCGGTTATTTCGAAGTTTTTACATGGTCTTCGGGAGTTTGTAATGAGGTTCGACTGTTAGTGGTAAAAGACATAAAAATATACATGTTTGTTAAATGATATCTCGAACTCGTGTTATTCGAAGATCCTGTTTAATTCGAAGCATTTCGACTGTTCTTACCAGACATTTCACCGAACATTCCATCTCACTGAAATCTAATACTCGGATAACTCGAAGTTTTTCAACGGTCCCGTCTTCTTCGAAATAACGAAGTTCGACTGTATATCTATATCATAACAATCAGTAGATAAACTTTGAGCTAAATCTAACGGATTGGTTTCTGTTATATTTTAAAGTGATGTATCATCTACATTAGTTATGCATTCAAAAATGTCATGGTTTTTAATCAGAAAAAGGTCTAAGACTGATCCCTAGGGGACGCCCTCACTTACTGTGTGTGGAAAAGTAGGTTTTCTACAGCTTCTCGCTACTTATGTTGATTAAATAAAAAGGCCTCAAACCGTTTTGAATCCACACCTCCCGCTTTAACCTACCATTCCACCTTGAGTTTTGTAAAGAAAGGACGAGTTTCAATTTGCACCATTCTGTTGTCATTCAGTGACAAGTGTATCCATTAATCTTAATACTCACCTTCCCGACCCAGAAGCTTGTTAATACTCACCTTCCCCACCAAGAAGCTTGTTAATACTCACCTTCCTCACCCCGATACAGATAAATACTCACCTTACTCCCCCAGAAACAGATAAATACTCACCTTACTCCCCCAGAAACAGATAAATACTAACCTTCCTCCCCCAGAAACGGATAAATACTCACCTTCCTCCCCCAGAAACAGATAAATACGCACCTTCCTCCCTCAGAAACAGATAAATACTCACTTTCCTGTCCCAGTTTTATGCTCACTGTCTTCATCAAAAACCAGGTGAATATCCACGTTTCTCACCACAAAGTAGTAGGTTAATACTCACCTTCATCCTTTTTTATGTACTCGGACATCACGGTACATTGACAGTCAGTGGGATTGAAGCTTGTTCCGGGGGCACACGGCATCCTCACCCAACCACTGCGAGGGACGAGCTGCTCGAAATGTTTTGGGTCGTCTGCTATCTCTTTCTTGTCACATTCTGCAGAATAGGGCGTGAGATCGGATGATGTATGACGTCAATCCACAGGATATTGGACAATCAACCAGTGAAGACGGTAGATGTTAAAAAAAACTTATAACAAGATCCAAATAAAGACCTGAACGATTAATATTGTTTTAATAACTTTTGTATATGATATCACTTTCATTTCAATTTCAATTAATGTTCATGACATTATTTGTATCTCTGTAAAACCTTGGAGCGCTGACAGAAAATATACATTGTTATTCTTCATAAATTTCATTTGAAATGGGAACGAACTGAAAGATTTTTTTGTTTTGTATCAAGTAAACGATTATTTATGCAAATCATTACAATAAACGTGTTTTTCCTTAATTTTTATAATCATCTAGACTCTCTAACGGTGATCTTCATTGTGACGTCATAACGCATATGGCGAGTACGCTAATTCGAACTCTTATTATCATATTTTGACGTTTTTTTGTCAGCTGGACAGACTTTGTGTATGAACATATATATTTTTTTACGACATCAGATGACTTCAAATGTCTAAACCGAAAGGTGAAAATAACGTAAATAAGACATTCAGGCATAATTGACATGCGCATTACAGAGTAAACAGCTGGTGTCTATTGCAGAAAGGATGTGCAGTAGAGGCACTTTTTGTAACTATTGCTTCATGATTCTTAGTTCAAGTCCTGTCGAAATTCGACGAGACCTGATTCCGATTTTTTATGATTTTTTTCCCAGATGTTGCATTCCGTTCGAAAATTAAAGTCTCTAACTGCGATTTCTGCAATTACAAACGAGGTTGACTATATTTGGTAATAGCAAAATTACCACGAAAGCTAGAGGAAGTAAATTGATGATACAAACTCCGTGACATGGAATATTATCGAAGATCTATTACTACTTTTAAAAAAATATATTAACCTGTAACCTATACGTGTTGAAAATATTATTTTATTCTTTGCCAGTAATATAAAATAAAACACGGGTTTCATTTTGGGGTGATAAAATATGAGCGAGATTTTAATATTTCAGAATTATATAGAATGTTGATTGATTGCTTTTGGAGCAATTCAATGCCGCGTACGTCATGTTATCTTCATGTCCTCTAACAATATACAAAGTAAGATGAAACCACTTTCCGGTACATGCTTAGAGAGTAGAATCAATTGTATTTTTTATTGGTCAAAATCTATTAATTATTAAAAGAACACAGAGTATAAATTGCGATAATTTTTTCCATTTTGAAAAACAATAGATTCAGCTTAAAACGTTTCAGAACTTTGACGTTGAAGGGGTGTCAAAGGACACATATTTAATCAGGCACGTGCCACCATGTTTCAACGCTGAACAACACTTTCAGCGCGTGACATTCATTCTCAGTTGGTGACTTGAAAAACGTTTTATGATGACGAAAGTATGGCAGCGCATTAGGACCAGGAGGTATAAAAATTCAATACTTGTCTACTTACCATATCAAGATGTTAGTTTTTAAATAGAATTTTAAGTAAACTGATATGATGTCACATCTGTAATACTTATAACATCTTCTTACCAGAAATTAACATTGAAAAGTAGCTTTTCCAAGATGTATACATTATTTTCTCCATCATTTTCATTTTTTCCCAATAGACATTCGTAGAAAATTTCTTAGTCTTTTAGACACGTCGCCAGAACACTGACGTTCGTCGGTGAGACGATACCCGGACACGGGAGGAGTCACGGAGACGGAAAACCTGTCAACCCACCAACAGTCGCCAGAACACTGACGTTCGTCGGTGAGACGATACCCGGCAACTGGAGGAGTCACGGAGACGGAAAACCTGTCAACCGACCAACCATGCCAACCAAACCAAGCAACCATCTTAAGACTTTAATTCAATTCCAGGACACAACTTCCCCTGTACCCCTGTACTATCAAGGCACGTAAGGATAGGTCAAGTTATTTTTTATCAATTTCTAACCCAGAATCATTGAAGGTAGCGGCTGCAACGGCTGTATCAGAAAAATCACATTTTCTGGCATACCTTGTTTTCTTCTAGTCGGAAATGTCCTTATTTGGACGAAATTGTTGGTATTCGAAGGCAAGTACTTATGAAGTACTTAAAAAAAGATGGATGATAAACTATATAGATATTGCATTGGTTCGGTTTGCTAGGCAGGAATTAGGTTTCCTGTAATATGACCGAATGGTATCTGAATTGCTCATTATATACTTTATAATTTCTATGGTCAGATTTTCGTGCCTATGAATATTGCTGTTTGTTGTACAGTGTTCATGTTTGATGCGGGTGTCAGTACCAAGAAGTTCTATTCTATGTGTGTAAGTTTTTTTCTTGTTTTGTTTCTTCTGTTTGTTTTTGTTTGTTTTTGTTTTTTTATGTTGTTGTTGTTGTTGTTGTTGCTGTTGTCGTCGTCGTCGTCGTCGTTGTTTCTTCACATACAGTTATAATGAATTCATATAAAGGTTAAGTTTGTCATTGCAAGGTTTTCTCTGAAATGTCAGCAATTTACAGAAATCCTACTCTTCGTGCTAACTTTGGAGCCACAAATTGAATTTTTCAGAGAAAAAATCTTGGATCTTAGGTGCATCCTAGGTTTATTTCTCAAAAACAGAAGTTTACCTAAGTATGTAAACTATAGACTTGTTTAAGAGACTTTGTGTGCAGATAACCTTTCCTTAGCCTGGAGCAAGTTATATTTAGAGGTCGATCTTATTGTCGAAAGGTACACAATTCTTATAAGATGGCTATGATCATTCATGCTGGTACACGTTGACACAACGAAAAACTCAGGATTTAATCACAGGCTGTATTATCATTAATAACACATATCACAGTATGATACACTATAATGAATATATAGTATTCCCGTTCACAAACTATATTATATATTATAATATATAGTTATAAATTACCGGCAGGTCAATGTCCATTACCACTAGTTAAACTAACATGAGTATATGACAAGCCACATATCAAATCATTCACTCATAGAAAAAAATATAACACAAACAATGTCATAATGAACATCAATAGAAACACCAAACATGCCGTGTTACACTTAATAACAAGTAAAAAAACATGTCGTGCTTTACTTCCATCAAATACATAACATATCGTGTTACGCTTTGTCAAAATGCAAAAAATGTATCAACAGGCCATACGGTATTACACTTAAGCTACAATACATGCCATATTACTCTAAGTTAAAATACAAAACATGCCTTTTTACACTTAGTTAAAATACAAAACATGCCTTTTTACACTTAGTTAAAATACAAAACATGCCTTTTTTAACTAAGTTAAAATACAAAACATGCCTTTTTACACTTAGTTATAAAATACAAAACATGCCTTTTTAAAACACAAAAACTTTTTACACTTAGTTAAAACACAAAACATGCCTTTTTTAACTAAGTTAAAATACAAAACATGCCTTTTTACACTTAGTTATAAAATACAAAACATGCCTTTTTAACTAAGTTAAAACACAAAACATGCCTTTTTACACTTAGTTAAAATACAAAACATGCCATATTAAATTTACATGTAATTACTAATATAAAACATATCACATCACACTTTGTAACTTATACGAAACATGCCATATTAGATTAAAATGTAATTACTAAAACAAAACACGTCATAAAACAATTATCAACCAATAAAAAACATACAGTATTACACATATAAATACTTACTGAAACCAAAACATTCGGTATTTAATTAACACGTAATTACTCATACAAAACATGCCGTTATTACACAGTTTACAAATACTAAACATTCCGTAATACACCAATAACGAATAAAAGAACATGCTGCAATATACTTGATTACATAATTACTTGTAAAAATGTACTGTATTACTTATACAACACACGTCATTTTACACATACGTGTTATCGCGATTACGGAGGAGTTATTTCCCTTTAATGTCTCGTCAATATATCGCGAAAATACATCAGACTAATAAGTAAAGTGCAAACCATCGATGAGAAGCTATGGGAACGACGGGATATGGGAACAGAACTCCGATTGCCGTAAATTTCGATAGTCCACTTTTTACCAATTGATAATTTTTTAAAAACACAAATACCGAAATGCATGTTTGAATTTCCATTTCCCATGAAAACGTATCTCCTATTTTTTAAGAAGTGTATTAACAGGACTATTCACCTTTCTAGTCTTTCAAATCATAACGGAAGTTTAAGTAACGCGATGGTTTCTATCACATAAGATTACACGCGCATAGATGACTGGCGTTACCTTAAGGAATGGGCAATAGATGACTGGCGATACCTTAAAGAATGGGCAATAGAAGACTGGTGATACCTTAAAGAATGGGTCATAGATGACTGGCGATACCTTAAGGATATGATACCTTAAGGAATGGTCATAGATGACTGGCGCTTAAGGAATGGGTCACAGATACATAGATGACTGGAAATAAAGAATTGGTCATGGATGACTGGCGATACCTTAAAGAATTGGTCATGGATGACTGGCGATACCTTAAAGAATTGGTCATAGATGACTGGCGATACCTTAAAGAATTGGTCATAGATGACTGGCAATACCTTAAAGAATGGGCCATAGATGACTGGAAATACCTTAAGGAATGGGTCATAGATGACTGGCGATACCTTAAGGAATGGGTCATAGAAGACTGGCGATACCTTAAAGAATTGGTCATAGATGACTGGCGATACCTTAAAGAATGGGCCATAGATGACTGGCAATACCTTAAGGAATGGGTCACAGATGACTGGCGATACCTTAAGGAATGTGTCATAGATGACTGGCGATACCTTAAGGAATGGGTCACAGATGACTGGCGATACCATAAAGAATGGGCCATAGATGACTGGAAATACCTTCAGGAATGGGTCATGGATGACTGGCGATACATTAAAGAATTGGTCATGGATGACTGGCGATACCTTAAGGAATGGGTCATAGATGACTGGCAATACCTTAAGGAATGGGTCATGGATGACTGGAAAT